CGTCTACACATTTCCAAAACAGTAAACTTTTACTCTCCAAACAGTCAGTTCTGATAATAAACCTCAAAATGAAAGTACGAAAAAATATTAACAGTACATGTAAAGACTGAACAAATATTTTGGTGGCTAGTGAAATTTTTGTTGGGATTTACATGTTGATAATCATTTTAACTTTAAAATAATAATTTAGCTATCGAAAAAAATTTAGTAATTGCAAAAAGCATTATTGTGTAGTAGAGTAAATGGTGAGTATCTGAAAGTAAAATAAAATAAGTGGTCAACTTTCAGGAATGTGATAATACAATCAATCGATCCGTGATCAGTCGAAAATTACTGCAGCCACTACTGATAATTTGGATTACTGGTCATACTGTTACTTGGTTTTTATTTGGATTTGTCAACAAAGGTTGTATTTAAAAATTAGAGAACTAATATTCATCAGCTCAATATTTGTTGCAAATTTTTGGTCTTAAATTTATCTCTCTTAAAATATGAGGAACTTAAAACTCACAAATTTTTTGTACTTTGAGTTGTTTATTTTTTTGGGAATAAAATAAATAAAACTTTGTAAAATTCATAAAATTTCAGTCAAAATCAAGCTTTGAAATCAAACTTTGCAACAATTTTGACTAAAAACTCATCATTTTGTTCTTAAAATCTTTGCCATAAATGACTCTAATGTCCTTTTCTATATTTTGTAAAATATTAATTTAGTTTACTCTTTTCGTTTGCACTTAAAATCAGTTCCAAAACTTCAACACTATCTTATGCACATTTTAACAATTGTTTTCAACAAATCGAGTCATTCTTAAAATAGATGATAATGCAGCACATTTATGTCTTTTAGAGACGAAACCTTAGTGCTTTGCTACTCAATCATTTTATCTATTCTGCTTAATTTTCAGAAATTTATGTGACAAGAAATAATTTTAATTTTGTAAAATTTAGATTTCGGAGTGGACAGTGGATCAAATAATCAAATAATCAAAGAACAACTGATAATTTGAATGATTTCCTACGAATATCACCATTAAAATGGTTAAAGAACTTAAATCATATCTCAACTTTGTATGAAAATACGATTTTTGGGTTTTTCATTCTATTCACAACGATTGATCATGTTTTACTTAGAAATTTTTTATTTAGAAGATATATATTATATATTTATTTTTTTGATTATCAAAATAATGAATCCAAAAAATGATTGATCAAATTTTATTAAATTCCATAGTTAAATGATCAGATGCAAGGCTATGATAGAGAGTGAAGCTCTGAAAATGAGTTCTGCATTGGATTTCTCAAATCATTCAATGAGGACATCACTGTAAGGATCATATGTTCTCATCAAATGCGTCATATTTATGCTTTGATAAGTTGAAATTAGTTGCAAACAACTTTTCATTCCGCTTATACCAAGTTAATTAATGAATATTTAATTAACTAATTTTTGTATAATAAATTGATTTGTGGGACAAATACTTGTTCATTTAATTTAATGAAATATATCATGGTTTATAGCTGCAATATTCAATTATTTCAGAAAAATTGAATATAGCTTATTTAAATATAAATACTAAAAGTTTATGAGCATTTCTTGCTAGAAAAACAAAATGACTAATTTGAAGTTGAAGCAACTTTATGAATGGAAATAAATTTAAAGTTTCTGAATAAAGATTTAAAACAAATTGAATGTTTCACGAAGATAATGGCAATTAAATTACTTAAAATCCATTTTACAAATTCACTACTTTTTGCCTTTCATCTTAATTATTACAACATGAGCACAATGCTTCAAGAATGAAAAATAAAATATGCTATTAGTTCTAAATCTATTTTCTGTTCACATTTAGCAGTCATCACAGAACAAATTTTTTCAAAAAAAAAAAAGGTTTTTTCCATTTTTCCCATTTTCAACATTGCCAATTCTTTTTTGTCCGCCGAAATCAACATTATATAAACAATCTCAATTAGCAAAACTCCATCTATTGAAAACGGAAAATGGAAATGGAATACTAGAATATACTCAACGAGAAAAAGAAAAACCAGCTGGCCGCCTGCTTGTCTATCAAATTTTCTGTTTAATAGTCTAAACAATTTTAAAGTTTATGCAAGAATTTGTTGTCTACAACAAGCTTTATTATGAAAATTGATTTACATTAAAATCCAATATTTAATTTCAACTACAAAAAAATTCTAGTGTATCTAATGATTAATGTATTATCACTTAATTGATTGAGTGATAACACATTAATCTGTAGAGCAAAGTCTTCGATGTCAGAAGACTTGCTATAGCTTCTGATATCTATTTTCTACTTTTTTTTGGCACATGACAAATTATGTGATTTTTTTTTCACTTAATTCAATTATTTTTTTAATTATTAATTATATTAGCAAAAGAACTTTATCTCATTTATTTCAAAATTCATTATAAAATTTTTATCAGTAATTTTTGTGAGAATATTTTCTGTCATTGTCATTAAATAAACAGCAAAAATTTGTTTCTTTCAGCGATTAAATTTTGCCATCATTTCCAGGCAAAAATATCTAACTTTTATCGAAGTGAAAATCTTGAAAATTTATTTGATAGAATAAATCGGAGAATAAAGTAAACATAGCAAAATTAAAAGTTAATGAGTTCTTCTTTGGTAATTTATTGCAACAAATCCTTACTATTTAGGCAAATTCTCAATCTGCGTGTTCAGTTCGTTGATTAATTCTCTAAATTTTAATCAGAGCAGTTTTGCTTTGTGTCACTACAATGCCATTTCTTTTGATTTTTGATATACTATTTCGATTTCTTTTTTTTTTTGATGAAATTAAGTCCCTTAAGATATTGTTTTAGCAATTTTTAAGATCATAACTCAGTGTTCATAACAATATACGTGTTTTATTAACATTGTCAGATTTTAATTCGAAGCTTATCTTGCATTAATAAATTTTTTTTGTTATTTATATAAACCCAATCACTTTAAAGATTTTTCAAGATATCTTTGGAATTTCAAAAAATTTAATAGGAAAAGCTTTGGATAAAGCCAATTTTGAAAATAGTTCATCTACGTGGTTTTCTATCTGAAAAGATTTTGGCATTTCTAAAACTTTTCTCTCAATTTTTAAATTCAAAGAAAAAAAGTTGTGTGGCCGATTTTATATTAGCAACTTATGCAATTAAAAAAAACCTTTGTGACTGTATGTACTATCACAAATAATAAATTGAGATTTAATTTTTGTGAGTAAAGTCTAGAAAATAGTTAACCCTAACTTCTCTATCACTACACTATTGGAGTAGTACGGCGTTACTAAACCTAAAATGTTCAACCGCACTTTTATAAGTCAAAAATCTTTGAGGGAAAGGAACATCTTTTTCTGTTTTGCAGCAAATTTACTCATTTCGTAAAAAGCAATAAAAAACTAAAAAATTTTTATAAGACAATTTACTCCTAAATTAGCCGCTTGTCGATCAGCATGAGTTAAAATTATCCTGAGCATTGTAGCTATTCCTAGGATTAGTTTAGTTTTCTATCCTGCAACTCACGCTTTTCGGCGTGGAGCTCACGCCATGTAATTTCATATTCATTACTTATTCCTTAATCGAAAATTTTTTACATAGCTATAAAAGACACTTACAGCAATTGTAATTTCCCTTATCAAACTTCCTTACTTTCTCGCTCTTCGATAATTTCTTCACAATCTCATCAATACAAATAAATGTAAAGTGCTGCATAGTCACCATATTAGAATTACTAATTCAATTATTTAATTATGAATCATAATATATATTGTCCGCTTGTGTATTCGAAACTGCATAGTGCTGCTGTTACTTTGGGCACTGAAACCACTTTTCAAATTTATTTAAATTTTGTTGTTTTTTTATTTTATAAGATTTTTAAATGGTTGCATGCAATCAAAAACCATCTTGTCACATTTTTGAAAAGAAGCTGTGGACGTCTTCGTCAGAAAAAATTTTGTTGGCGGGTAATTTTCAAGTATTTATGATATACGTTTCTTGCTCACGATATTTAATTTAAATATTACGATATTTAATTTAAATATCGTGAGCGAGAAACGTTCAAAATTATGGCTACTATTGAAATGCTCAATAGTAGCCATAATTTCAAAAAATATTTCATTAATAGTTGGAATAGCTGATGATAATCACTCCAATTTTTAATGGAAAAGTTTGAAAGTGCTTCATGAATCTTGGAATTGAACAGCAAGATTGTCAAGTATGAAATATATTTGCAAAAAAGTGAATAATTGCTCTTCCGCAAACGACTTGACAAATTGAATATCATAATGTAATTTCTGATTAATCAAACTCAAAATATGCGTTGAATTTTATCTACTTTCAAAGAATTTAAAAATCGAATTTTAGATCATATTACTGACTTTGTCCAATTTCTTTACATAAAACTTTGCTAATCAAAATTTCATTAATTAGTTTAAAAAAATCATTGAAGACATCTGCAGTACACTTTCTAGCACATACGTTAGAAGTAGCCGCTAAATAATATGGCATTAATACAGCTTTTCATAATTTGATAGCCTTAATAAGGCAATATGCAGAAAGTTTATAAAGGAGTGATGTTTCCCATAAATTTAACTTATTTCACCTTCCATTTTTAGGAAACCTGCACGATATGATGAATCAAAAGAGCCGAGTTCTTTGCATATTACTACTTTTAACATTTTTCTTAACTATTAACGCTAAACTGAAGCGAATCATCAGAAGTGGACGACGGGTAATTCATCTTATCAATACCTTTTTAAGCTTTTGAAACTTTCATGTGATCAACTTATATTACCTTCACAATTGATTTCAAAAATACTTTATCGTTCGCCAATTTATTATTATATTTAAGTTTTAAAAATTTTAAATTTAGAGTTTTATTTTACTAACCTTTCTGGTTTTCGATCAGTTTATAGCAACGTTTTAAGAGAGATTTTTGTAAAATGTATTCTGCCTGATATCAAGTATATTTTGATAAATCTATCTAAAACAAACGAAGAAATGCGAAAGTGTTGAGTTCATTTTCGAAATACAATTAATGCAAAAACTGCAAAATTTTTCGACAAAATCAAGGCACAAATAATGTCATTTCATTAGGATTTCCTGGTTTCTAATATACCTATTAAGCATTATAGCGTGCAAAAAAGAAACCTAATAGAAATTAAATGCCAGAACTTTTTACGAACTGACAAATAATTACATAACCGTAAACGTTTTGATAGCAAAACATTCAACTGCTTCGATAATTACTTTTACAGTATTTGCAAACTTACTTTCTGAGGAAGGTTTAAGCAATTTTTTTTGATGCAAACGGTAAGAGCAAAAATATTTATTCATTAAAATTTCAAGAAAATTTGACTAAAAAATTTACAAAAGACAATTTTGAAAAAAAAACTATTTGATGTACAAAGTTATGTGTTCAAATTAGAACTTAGGTATTTAGATCCACCGACATGTGCCACAGTATCCTCGACGGCAGGAGCGCACTCGATTGGATTGTCGTGCTCACGAGAATTACGTGAGATGTGGTCCCGAACCACATTGTGAGATGTCATGTGACAATTTATACAGGTAAAATAACCTTAATTCACTGAAACTTTCTGCTTAAAATACGCTACGCAGATACAATATTTTCAAACGAGACTGATCCAAGAATCTGGGGCAACACTCAATAGAAATGACTTTTCAAATATTGGGTATTGGCAAATGAAGGTGATAACAGCATATATCAGCTCAGTAAGCAAAATGAACTTTATTTTTCGCAAGTTTCAGAAGTTCTAAAATTTTTTATTTTGAAAAAGGCAGAAAAAGCTTAAAAAAACTATATTTCATTCATTAACCTGAAATCCTAGAGAATAAAATTAACATTTTAGATGAAAAACTGCGATTTTTCAGTTTGAAATTTCAGCCCGCCACATTGTTATCATGCGAAAAACCATCCAAAGTGCTATTATCCGAGATGTATCTGCAGTAAAGGTTTCATACGCAATCGAATAGGCTTTTGTGTACGTGAATGGAAATGTCCCCAAAGGTTATTTAATTATATTTCTCAAAATCCGAATTTTGAGCTTTGTTTGTATCTTCAGCTATTAATTATTGCTTGAAAGGAATCTGTAGATGAACTAGCATATCGACGAAATTAAAGAACAGACAGTTTTTCAGATATTTTGAATATGGATTGTACAATGGAGATGACAATGACCTTGACAACAATAACCACATTAGCAACTACGAAAACACCATCAAGTATCAGTATGGAGGTTATCGACCAAAACCAAGAAAACATTTTTGGTGATTCGGGACAGAGACTACGAATGTCTTTAACTGACTTTTTAAAAATTACAAGCTGTCTAAAAATTGTCAAATTAAATGAACGAATTTATTCATGGAACCAATCTGAAAGTAATTTGAGTATATATTCTGGAATTCAGCAGGAAAGATTGCGCCAACTCATCATATGAGTGAAGAAACATGGACAGTTCATTTTTTAAATGAAATTTGCCAAGTTTCGTACCTTAAAATTGAATGGTTCTAAGTCAAGTGCATGACGCATTCACACTTCAGAGTTTCATATTTTCATCTAATTTTATTCTTTAAATGCTTTCTGTAAAATTAATGAGTAAATGAGTTGATGATTCTAATAACACTCGACGCAAACTATATTAATTATTATCGATGTGACTAGTACATTTCGTGTCGAGCACTATTCAAAGCTCATATCTGCACGTTTACTTACATTTCATACGTGTCATCAGTTTTATGGAACTCTAAGTCGAATAAGGATGTTTTACTTTAATGATTTCAGAACCTCGCAAAAATACGAAAGTAATATAAAAGGAAAAATGTCGCGAATCAATAAAATTAACATGATATATGATGTATGTCTTTCACTTTTCCTCATTGTTATCATCTCGAAGCTCGAATGAAAAGAACTCATAGTACGTTGTCATGCGCTGAAGTACTGCCCTAACTTCGTTGTCATAATTCTGAAATAATTTAGGAAATTCCACAAATACTTTCATCTTATTTACATAAATAAAACTTGTGCAAATAATTTGCCGTATCTGGCATTTACTTTTTATTTTTACCCTCACTGCGACATATAAACATTTATTGTAAATTTCCGTGCAAATTCACACAAATAATTATTTTCCTTTACAGTTCACAAATATTATCAGAAATATGAGCGAAATAACACCACATATATGTAGTTCATGATGTAAATGATGTGCACAACGTTAATTAGTCCATATTTTAGAGAAAAAGTCCTTTAACTTTGGGAATAATAAAAAATTTTCACACGTCCATTTGCTTGAAAGTAAGTGGTAATGTTAAAAAGATCTTTGCATCTTATATCTTCATAATGTACCAATTTTTTTCCTGCTTGTCATAAATTGGTAACTACGTTTTAAAGTGCGAAAACATCGTCTGACAACTACTTTGCTATAACCATGCATGAAACTCAAGCGTTCTAATAATAAATCGAAACTGTTTTTGAATCGATGCCACAATCTACTCAAATAATATTATGGGATGCTACTGATCACAGATAACTCCCGAGACTGGAACATAACTCAAAAAATATGAGGAATATTTTAAATATACATGGCTACCTACATATTTGCTTAGTCTAAGCGAAAAAATTATGCCATGTAAAAAGAAAGCAACGAAAAGTAGTCAAGTAGAACTGGAAAATAAGTAAATTTTAAGCGATAATTAATTTATGACTGCCATTAATTTCAAATGAAATCATCTCATACTACGTATGGTAATATTGCGAGGTATAATATTACACATAACCAATAATTTTAAAACATAAACAAAGCTCTAAAAAATGAATTCTTACAAAGTCAAAATGATTGATTGGAAAAATTAAGACATAAACCCAAATAAATTAAGAAGTGAAATAACTGAGAAAATATTCAAAAAGCTTTTACATATACTTTTGTGATTTTTACGTTTAAATAAAAATAATGAGTTCTGAAACGAAAACTTTAAGCGCGTTTGGCTTTTTGCCATGTTCTTTACTTTGACAAGTTGGGTCGTTGAAAGATCTTGTAGCCTGAGTTTTGCAAGTTAGACTGAGTTTCGGGTTATTTGGGTGAAATAAAGTGTTAATTAGAATTTTAAGTGTTTAGGTACTGTGAGTAGATTCTTCAGTTTGATTTATTTATATTGCATGGAATTATTAGGGTTTCAGTAGTAGTAGTAGTAGTAAGTAGTAGTAGTAGTAAGTAGTAGTAGTAGGAAGTAGTAGTAGTAGGAAGTAGTAGTAGTAGTAGTAGTTGTTGTTATTGTTGTTGTAGTAATAGTAGTAGTATCATCTGACAACTACTTTGCTATAACAGGGCATGAAACTCAAGCGTTCCAAATATTGAGTGACTTAAGACCATATTCACATAATTTCGATAAGTTAAATTTATTTGAAACAAATATATTTTAGTATTTTATTTGCAATACGCGTAGTTGTTGTTTGGAGTGGAAGAATGAATGGCTGTAATTGGTATTGTAACTAATGAAGAGTGTAATAGAGTTACGATCAGGAGCATAAGAATAACACTAATGTCAGCGTATAACGGGTTCAAAAACCATGTAACTTTTCCCAGTCATCCAAATCAAGGTTAGTAAATGAATTTGTTTTATATAAATCAAAGTTACTTACTCAATATGTATATATTACTTCGTCGTTATACTTTTTTATATAACCCATTCGTTATAATTGTCAACTTTCAAATCATGTAATCTCTTCTTTAAAAAGGCAGCACTGATTAATTAATGACTGAAGTGGATCTTTCATTTGGTTTTCTTTTAGCTTTTCATCAGATAAACCTCTCGTTAAATTCTTAAATACCTAACGCGGAATTCGTTAGACATGTCTTTTGTAGAATTTAAACGAATTATTCATTTTTATTCATTAGTAGAATATCGGTTGTATTGGTATTGAAATAATTAGGAATTGTGGAACGATTTAAGATGTATTTTAGAAAAGTCTGTTTTTTTTTGAGGAGGAGGAGGAGGTGGGGAATTTCAAATATTTTTTTGGGAGGAGGGGAGGAAGGAATTGTAAAGTTTTTTAGAAAGAACATTTATAAAATTCCAATTAAGTGGCTTGTAAATGATTTACAGATCTCTATGATAAATGTACTATTGCTGCAAAAACATTTGATTTCAATTACCACAAACCCTATTCACCAGAACTTTCGGAGCAAAGCAACGAAATGGATGCAACAGTGTATACTCCATCACCTGTAGATCATTACGCTACATTTGCTGCTACTACATCGGATGTTAGTGGATTACGGATAGAAGAAAAAATTGATGACGAGTTTTCGTCTTCAAGCGTGATTATTGATGAAGATGAAATTATAGATGGCGCTTCGTCTCACAGTGATTCTCTTAGTCTCAAATTGTCGTCTTCACTTGGGGTATTATTGTTTTGGTTTGAAAGATAATAGTTTGAACATATTTTCATAATTATATATGGCAGATTAATTTCGATATTTTCAGACAACTGAAATTAGACAGAAAGTTTTGGAAGAGGAAACTGAACCTGAAAACAGTGAATTTGAAACTGTTGCCAATGTATTAATTGAACAGTTGACGGGTGTAAATAGTGAGGAGGTACGGCGTCGTCCATACAATTCTATTGGCCCGGATTGTGATGAATTACGAAATATGTTAGCAATCGCTCTTCGAGAAGACAAACTAGCTCTGGAACTGAACAAGGTATTCATGTGTGTTGTAATACAATTTTGCCTTGATTTTTTCATTTTGGAAGCGTCTCAGATTTCGTTAAGCGAATTTCTGAAAGTAAGTAACAGTCCATGGTTATGATCATAACTTCAAAGTTTCAACTTATATCTTTTACTATGTCTGTCTTAATGACGAGCAAAATTTTTTTTCTGGTTTCCAGATAGACTCGTTATTTCAGAAACGATCTCATTTATCTGGTGTTGGATGGTTAATATCAAACTCGACTTGCGTTGATTCAGCTAGTGAAAAGAAAGAGCGAGTTATGTTAGATGGATGTGGAAAGAAATTGGGAATAGATGAGAGAAAAAGTCAACCTAGGAAATGGATTTACCACCCCGATATCGTTCGAGCAAATGGTAATGCGTGTTACAAAAGTATTTATACGGAGTCAATTTTTTATTCATTTGCATTAAATGTCCCTTAGTTGCAGATAATAAATTTATAAAAGAGAATTTATGTTTTTATAGTTTCGGCAGCATTGGATTCGACTACATTCCCAATAAGACTTCAGGACGGTGTGTTACTCAGTGAACTTCCCCCTCCACCCATGCATCCCATTCTTCCCGATGAGGTTTTGATTAGAAATGTTTGGAGTTTTCCGATAATCTTTGAAGTAGTATTATTGAATTATATTTCTTTAGATACGCAAAGCCGTGCGAGCGAAAATGGTACGATGCAAATTTTGTAAAAATCGTTTCATTGAAAAAAATTTGTATGAGAGACATCTGAGAAGTCGACATCATACTGAGTATTTGGCATATTTAATACAACAGGAAGAAGAAATTGCAGAACAGAGGTAGTTCCTTTTGAAGGTGAAAAAAATTATCTCTTTCCGGATATTTGATGAATCTTTACCGAAGTCGGCTTTTGAAGTTTTGTTTAAACTTCAGGCAGGCTGAGCTGGAAGCCAATCGCATTGAAGAGCTCGCAACTGGAGGTTACATCCCTCCAGAACACGAAATAGATGCAGAATCCTATGAAGTAGAGGTCGAAAAGTAAGACATCCATCATTTCTAGTTGAATCTTG